AGCAAGCCTTGGGGCGACGCAGATTCATTCTAGGCCTGCCTCATGCTCACCCACCCCCTCGCCGTTCCCTCTTCTCGCGGGACAACGAGGTTCCGATACCGCTACTCCCCTGGGTCTCTCCCGGAGTGCGTTTTGACCAGAATTTCGAAGAAACCACCCGTGACGACGAGGACCCCCAAAGACGAGCAGCGGCATCGGTAACTTTTCCTTTTCTGGTTTTCGGAACGGGTCTCGCCTTGGACACCTGCTGGCGGATCTCGTGCAGCAAGTCCAGGTAGGTGCAGTCGTGCCGTAGCTCCGTCAACGACTGCACAAAGCACCAAGACAACACCCCGTGCTGCTTCGCGGCGTTCTGGCCGTCAACAGCTGAGCGTCGAGGAGGAGGAGAAGGAGGTTGGAGGGGGAAAGAATGGGGGGAGGGACTATGATTACGGGTGGATGGGTGCAAGGTAAAGACACGGCGGCAGTGGTGACGTGAGAGACAGCAAAGCGCTGTTGCCAGTGAAGCGGCGCCATCTGGATGTGGCGCGCCCATGGAGACCCCCGCGTACCCGTATTCCCTGCTATGCTACCACCTGCCCTAGCATGCTTGAGGAAGAAGTGACCTACCGTTCGAGTGGGGGAGGAGGGATGAATTTCGAGGAAGGAGGAGGGAGGAGGCAGGAGGGAGGAGGGAGAAGGAAAAGGATGAGGGAGGATGACGAGGAGGAGGATAGGATATAAGTTTCTTCACATCCCTGGCCCTCGTCATCGGCGCCGTCATCGTCGTCGGCCTCGTCGTCGTCCTCGCGGCAGAACTTTTGTTTCGGCCCCCGCGGCGCTACCACGTGACGAATAGAGTGGAATAGCTGTTTTTGTTCGACCCCCCCGCGCTGCCACGTGACAAGTAGAGTGGATGAAATACGCTTCTTCGCGCCTGCAGGCGTTTCCGCGCAGCGAGTGTAGCGGCATAGTATCATGCTCGGCCCCCGCGGCGCTGCCAAGTGACGAATCGAGTGGAATCACCGTGTTTAGAGGGCCACATGCGAACCCTACCCCTACCCCCCACGATTTCTGAGGGGGAGGGTGAGGTTCACTTCGTTCGGGAGCTCCCGAATGAAATGAACCCCACCCTCCGCCTCAGAAATCGTGGTGGGTAGGGGTAGGGTTCGCATTTGGTCCCCTAGTGTTTTTGCTCTGCCCCCGCGGCGCAGCCGCGCGACAAGAGCAGTGCACGGAATACATCTCCTCCGCGCCCCCAGGCGCTACCACGCGGCAGCTTGGAGTGGGGCGAGTGTGTCTCGGCCCCCGGCGGCGCGTTGCCGCGTGACGACTGCAGCGGAATTTAGTGTGTCGGTCTCGCCCCCAGGGCGGTGCCGCGTGGCGAGTAGAGTGGAATGGTGCTTTTCTCGGCCCCCGCGGCGCTGCCGCATGACGAGTGGAGTGGAGTGTTGGTTTGTCGCTCGCCGAGGCGTTGTCGCGTGGCGAGTAAAGTGTAAGGGATGTGTTTCGGCCCCACGGCGCTACCGCGTGACGATGCGCACATTGCGCAACAGTGCGGTGAATTGTATTGCATTGAATTGCGTTGCGTTACATTGCATTGCATTGTGGTGCGCTGAATTGCATTGTATCCTGTTGCATTGCATTGCATTGCATGAGCATTACATTGCATTTGCATTGCATTGCGTTGCATTAAATTGTATCCTGTTGCGTTGCATTGCATTGCACTGCACTGCATTTGTATTTGCATGGGCAGTTGCAACACAGCGCAGTGCAGTACTCTTTTTACGACGGCCAACACGAGTTCGGAACAGTGCCCCTGGTGCCAACGCCACATCGACGCGGTGCGGCACGAGCACGATGGCCAACGATTCTTGGGGGGCGACGGCCACCATGGGCTGGCCGAGTGGCTCCCGGTACCAGAGGCATGACGGCGCCGATGGGCACGAGCACGACCTGCCAGCAGCTTCTGGGCCAGGACGGCATCCGGAACCTCGACCGAGCGGACTCGGTGCGAGGAGGGGCACTGGGAGCAGCGGCACGAGAGAAGGGCAACCGACACGAGCACGACGACCAGCAGCCCTTTGGGCTACGACGGCCACCACGAGGTCGACGGGGCGGCCCCGGCGCCAGCGGCGCGACGGCGGGGATCGGCGCGAGCACGAGGGCCAGCAGCCCGGCGCCTCGACGGCCACCGGAGGAGCCCGACGAGGGCGGCGGGTGCCAGCGGAAGCTCCTCGCCACCGAGAGGAGGGCCCGGCTCGGCAGGAGCAGGGGCTGCCCCTCAGGTGCGCCACTTGGGGGGCAGCGCGAGGCCATGTGCATGCTGCGGGACGCTGGTCGAGGTTCACGAGACCTGAGGGGTCCTGCGGGCTTCCGGGGCGCCTCTGCTTTTCCTCTCTCCCCGCTTCTGCTCCCCCCCTCCTCCTCTTTGCCGCCGCTGCCGCCGCTTCGCTTGCACGGTGCCCCAGGACTTCTCTATTCAGTTGTTGTTCTCCACAGCTGTGTCGCCCCGTGCTGGAGGGACCTGGTGCGAACACTGGCACTGCCCAGGAGTTCTACGCACGCCAGCGCAGGCCTCGTTTCGACGTTATGTTTGTTTATTTTCCTCGTTTTGTGTCTCTTCCTGTTTGTCCTTGGTCGTCCTCTCCTGCTCATCTTGCTCTTCTTGCTCCTCTTGCTCCTCTTGCTCCTCTTGCTCCTCTTGCTGCTCTTGCTGCTGCCGCGCGTGTCTGATTTCGGCGCCCGCGCTGCCTTCTCGCTGGCTCCGCTCTGCCCTCTCTGCTGTCTGCCCCGTTCTTCGCCTCCTCGGTTTCACATGTCATCGACTGCACGTGTCTTTTTTCTCCAATGACGCAGGACGACGCCACGTTGAGCTGAGAGTACATACAGGTGAGTACTCGTCAACGTTGCAATAGTCTGCCCCTAGCCGGTGTCCACTCAGTGCCAAAACAAGAAACATGCTCGGCCGAACGCTAACAAAGACACACTAGCGAATGGGCTGAGGGCAGAAGCTGCACAAGCTGTACAGCGAAACGTGAGTGCACTGTAGCAAGCTGGGTGCAGCACCGAGAGTATGCACAGCCTGACGCGAGGCGGAGCCTGCTGCTCAACCTGGGCCGCGCGCCACTGGGTAGCGAGAGCAAAAGCAAGCGCATGAACGAGCAAAGAGCTGCCGATTCAAACAAATCGAAAGTCGGGAGCGGCCAGGAGGGGGGTGTCCAAGAGAAGGGCTGCAAATCATGACTGGCGGCATGTGCGCGGCCCAGTGGGGGGGCCAGGAACGTAATGAAATAAGGAGAGGCGCCAGGCACCCCCCTCTTTTCCGCCCCCGACCAGCCTGCGTTCAAATGTCGCCCGGGATGGGGCGCGAGTCTGCCGTGGCTGCAGGCCAGGAGTGAGCCGAAGATAGGGGGCCGCGTGCGAACCCTACCCCTAACCCCCATGACTCCGGAGGGGGAGGGTGGGGTTCACTTCGTTCGGGAGCTCCCGAGCGAAGTGGGGGGTAGGGTTAGGGCTCGTCCCCACTACGAGATTCTCCTCTGCCTCCTCCTTTTCCCCCTGCTCCTGGTCGGCACTCTGGCAACGATGAGGATCAGAACTCGTTGGAGAAATGTGATGCGGGCCGGCCTGCGTCCAAACGCAATATGGAGAGGCAGGCAGAGGTCGCCCGTGGCGCGAGGGCCGCGTCCTCAAACCGACCAGCCACTGCGAGCCGTTCGCAAGTTCTCATCCTGTCCATCCTTCCACTCCTGGCTCCTCCTCCTCCTCGCCTCCTACTCCTCGCCTCCTCCTCCTCCTCCTCCTCTCCTCCTCCCTCCTCCTCCCCTCCCTGCTCCTCCTCCTCCTCCTCCTCCTCCTCCTTCTCCTCCTCCTCCTCCTCCTCCTCCTCCTCCTCCTCCTCCTCCTCCTCCTCCTCCTCTTTGCGGTCATCCTGTTCATCCTTCCACTCCTGGCTCCTCCACCTCCTCGGCCTGATTCAGCTATCCTCCCGAGCCCCAGCCGCGAGAGCGGCGGCCCCCCTCGAGGAAGCACGAGCATGCAGGCGCCGATGCTGGCGGCGACTTGAAACGGTCGATGGATCCAACCCGACCAGGGCGTGAGGTGTGCGCCAGACAGATTGTCCTTCGCGGCATCTGCGCGGAGGACGTGACAGTGAGCCTGCTGGGCACCCCCAGCATGCGCCATTCATGGGTATATCGACGCCCGTCCTCCAATCCCAACTCACACAATCCTACCCTCTCCGCATCCACGCCTCCCCACTCCTGCCACACGCTCAAGAGACGGTGACCGCGAGCTCTGGCCAGTAGCATTCAAACAAGTATGAAAAGGCTCCAGGCTGGCAGCAAGGCAAAAGTGCTTGTGCTTTACCAGGAACGCAAACACCTGACGGCACTTTGAGCTACAGTGCGTCAGACATGAAGATTGCATGGAGAACCGATGAGTTGGTGTGTGTGCGCGAGCTGCTCAAAATTGAGTTGGTGCCGCTCGTCAGAAGCAATATTGCTGTGGCGATGCTGGTCGCACTCACGGATTGCCCTTTCTCTGATCCCTGGTATCCTGTGATCCCGAGGTGCTCTCCTATCTCGCGTACCAGCTGACCACCACATTCAAACACGAGCAGCACACCAGCACTTCAAATGTCTGTTCCTACGGAAGGGAACAGTGGCAACGCCGCAGCACACGACAACACTCAACACTGCCGGTCAAGACGGAGACGGAAAGAAGGAGACTGGCAGGGAGACCTGGCGGCGCGCAAAAGGGGGTAGGTGGAGGGGGGAAGGCTTCTTAGAAGCACCCTGCTTCTTAGAAGGCCTCGGCCTTGCGTCTATAGAGAAGGCCCGCGCCCTGTAAGAAGCAGGGGTGCTTCTAAGAAGCCTTCCCCCCTCCCCCTGCCCCCCTCTGCGCGTTGCCGAGAGACTCGGGGGCACAGACACGCAGCGAAGCCATGGGACGACCGAGACCGCGAGGGTGATCTCCACGCGCGTGCCCAGCGGAGCCCGCCGCGTTGCAGGTGCCCGTCACCGCCTGCGGCCGCCGTAGCTGTGGTCGAAGCGCGCCAGCATCTCCGCCCTCCTGAGAGCCTCCGCCCGGGCGCTGCTCTTGCGCACGTCGGCACTGTCGACAGAGCCCTTGCTGCCACAGCGATGCAGGTCCTCCGAGCCTGGGGCCAAGAGCAGGCCCTTGCAGGTGCTGCCGTCCTCGGGGTGCGCCGCGTGCATCTCCTTCGCCGAGTCCACCGACACGGTCCGCCCGCGCCAAACATCTTCAGTCTCGAACCCGGCAGTTGAAAGCGTCTGCGGCGAGCCACAGGCGGTGGTGTCCACCGTCGGGGGTGCACGAGCCCCGAAAGCGCGCGCCAGCAAGAACGCCATCCTGACACGGTCGCAAAAGACGGGCGGCCGGCTTCAGTCCGGATGGCTTGAGCCAAAATGGCTACGGATATCGACTGCACGTGTCTTGGAGCAAGCTCAGGGACCGCACGCTTGCTTGTGGTTTGAAGTGCAGCGTTAAAAAAAAAAAAAAAAAAAAAACAAGCAAGCAAGCAAGCAAGCAAGCAAACAAACAAGCAAGCAAACAAGCACAAACAAAACATTGCATTGCAGTACATTGCGGGTGAGGAAGAAGAGGAGGAGGAGGAGGAGGAGGGCAGGAAGGGAGCAGAAGTGAGGAAGGTACAGAGAAGAGGGGGAGAAGATAAGGAGGAGTGAGGAGGAGGAAGGGGGAGGGGGGGGTGGAGGGGGGAGGGGAGAACTGGCCGACCACCTGGGCAAGCTGGCAACTGGCCACCCAGCCACCCAACCAACCAACCAACCGACCAACCACCAGCCAAACGACTGGTCAACCAACGAAACAACCGCCCAACCAACCAGCCAGCCAGCCAGCCAACCAACCAACCAAGCAAGCATCCACCACATCGCCTCGAACAAAAAAATGATCCGGAAACCAGTGAGCCAACAAGCCAGCCAACTAACCCACCAACCAACCAACCAACTCACCGCCCAAGCAATTAACAACCTATCCACAAACTAACCCACCAAACAACCGCCGCCCAACCAACCAACCAACCAATCGACCACCTCGATAAAAACGAACAAATATTGACCCTGAATCCATCCAAGCCAGGCAGCCAACCAACCCACTAACCGACTAGCCCTTCCCAAAGGATTTTGGAGAAAGTCCCACACGGCGGGTCCCGGAAAGAATTTGACCTGGAAAAATCGCTTTCGACCCTGAACCAACAAATTAACAAATTGTGACACGGAAATCGGCGAGCCAATCAGCCAACCAACCCACCAACCAACCAGTCCTTCAATGGGATTGTTTGTGGATGTCCCACACGGCGGTCCCCGGAAAGAATTGAACCTGGAAAACTTCGTTTCACTCTAAAATAACAAATACCCTACAAGAAAAAACAAATGGTCCTTCTCCCCGGCCATGATATCCATAGAGGAATGCAAAGAAAAACTTCATAAACACAAACTGTCGGAGGCCCTCAAGGGACTCTTGGATCGGCGCTGGACCCCCTCCCTGGCACGACGAGCGCGCCAGGGGCGACGCCAGAGACGCCGCCAGGGGGCACAGCGCCGACCCGATAAATTCGCGCGGACCTCCAAACGCCGCCCAAGAACGTCCGCGGCAACGCCAGCAGCGGGCTGCGACAGGAGCCTGGCGCGGCCCTCGGGACCGCAACGCACGCGCGGGCGGAATGCTGACAGCCAGATGGTCCAAGCGACCGCACGTGCGGAGGGAGCAGGAGGAGGAGGAGGAGGACGAGGAGGACGAGGACGAGGACGAGGACGACGACGAGGAGGAGGACGAGGAGGAGGAGGCTGAGGGGGGAGAGGGGGAGAGGGAAGGAGGAGGGGCAGGGGGCAGGGGGAGGGGGAGCGGGAGGGGGGGGGGAAGGAGGGGGGAGAAGGGGAGGGGCCGGGAAGGAGGGAGAAGGGGAGGGGGGAAGGGGAAGCTAGCTGCGCTCGCGTCATATCTGACATCCTACCCCTCCCCCCCATGCCTTATATCCCTTCTCTACTCGCACAATCGGATGTCGAGCAGGGCAGTGATCCCGAAAGAGTACGCGATGCATTGTAGAGCACGGCATGGCATGGCGTAGAAAAGCACCGCAAAACGTAGTATGTCACAGCATGGCGTGGCGTGGCGTAGTGAAGAATTGCATGACAAATCTTTGCAACGCAAAGCATGGCATCGCACAGCGGCCCCGAACATAACATGGCATAGCATGGCGTTGAAGATCAAAGCGTAGCATGGCATAGCGCGACGTGGCACTTAAGCACTGCATATCACAGCTTCAGTTGAAAGCATGGCATCGCGCAGCGGAACGCAACCTAGCATTCCAGTGCATGCCGTGGCATGGCACGGGAAATGACGCCAGCGCTGCAGCGGGAGCACGATTCGGAACGAGCGGAAGCGCGGAAATGAGGCCAGCGCTGCAGCGGGAGCACGATTCGGAACGAGCGGAAGCAAGGAAAAGAGGCCAGCGCTGCAGCGGGAGCACGATTCGGAACGAGCGGGGCCCGAAAATGAGGCCGCCGCCTCAGCGAGAGCAGCATTTTGACAAAAAATGCAAGCGAAAACCCAACTCCGGGGAATCCTGTGTAAAAAAACAATACGCGGGGGGGGGGGGGGGGCGAACACTCCCAACCCGTCATCAGGGGAAGGAGGAGAGTGGTATTCATATTGGGAAATTGTGGGGGGAGGAGAAGGGGGGAGGGGATGGAAGGGGGAGGTGGAAGGGAAGGGGGAGGGGGGAGGGGGAGGGAGACAAGCTAGGTGCGCTCGCGTCATATCTGACATCCTACCCCTCCCTCCCATCCCTTACCATGGAGCAGATCCCCTCTCTACTCGCACAGTCGCATGTCGAGCAGGGCAATGATCCCGAAAGAGTACGCGGTGCATTGTAAAGCACGGCATGGCATGGCGTAGAAGAGCACCGCAAAGCGTAGTATCAACCTAGCATTGCATTGCACGCCGTGGCATGGCACGGGAAATGACGCCAGCGCTGCAGCGGGAGCACAATTCGGAACGAGCGGAAGCGCGGAAATGAGGCCAGCGCTTCAGCGGGAGCACGATTCGCAACGAGCGGAAGCACGGAAAGGAGGCCAGCGCTGCAGCGGGAGCACGATTCGGAACGAGCGGGGCCCGAAAATGAGGCCGGCGACTCAGCGAGAGCAGCATTTTGAAAAAAATGCAGGCGAAAACCCAACTCCGGGGAAACCTGTGTGAAAAAAACCATACGCGGGGGGGGGGGCCGGACACTGTCAAACCGTCATCAGGGGAAGAGGGAGAGTAGTATTCATATTGAGTAATTGTGGAGGAGGAGGAGGAAGAAGAAGAAGAAGAAGAGCAGGGGGAGGAAAATGGGGAGGAGGAGAGGGAGGGTACCCAGAGACTTCTGGAGTGATCGATGATCGAGGTTTGGGAACACTGTCGCCTCCCTTCGTGGGCCTCTCTGGTGGCTTCTCGTCGTCGCGGCTAGATTCCCCTCCCAAGATGGTTCCAGGGGGCGGGGATCTTTGAGGGGGCGAGGGTTCATATGCGATGTGTGATCGGCCGCCCATATGACAGGGCGAGAGGTGGAGAAGTGGGAGATGAGGAGGAGGAGGAGGAGGAGGCGGAGGAGGAGGAGGAAGAGGGACACGAAGAAGCTCAAAGGCGAGAAACCCATTTTGAACAGGACGCCCTCCATCCGTGCAACTATTGTAGACTTTGATCGCCGCGAAAGCGCGTGGCGCTACGGCAAGAGCATCCTTTTGGAAAGGAAACGCCCTCCGTTCGTGTAACGGGCGGAAGGGTAGGCTTCAGGATCACCTACGGTGAGGATGTCTCAGGCGGAACGCCCAGAACGTCCTCACTACGCACCCACACGACCGGGAGTGCGACAGGGAGGAGTTGTCTGCAAGGACAGGGAACGGAGGAAGAAAAGGAATGGGGGAAACAGGGAGGGAGGGAGGCTGTGAGCGTTGTAAGCTGGGGTGGGGACAGCACGCAGTTGGGGCGGCGAGGCAAAAGCACTGCGCTGGCGTTGGGGCCAGGACGCCGGTATGGACGACGGAAGACGTCTCGATTGGAAAAACACCGACGTAGGTAGTATAGGAAGCCCTGTGTCAGAAAACAATGCGCAGGAGTGGCGTGCAAGAGCGAGCGTGATCAAAGGGGAGGGGGGAGAGCGGTATCTCATCAGGTCTTCGTAATCGCAAGGGCGAGGGGGGGGGGCATGCAATCTCCCCTCTCCCCCCTCCCGCCTCGAGAGGCCGCAGCGGTGGACACCAGAACGAAGTGAGCGACGACGACGACGACGACGACGACAACCGACGACGACGACGACGACGCGATGATGATGATGATGATGATGATGATGATGATGATGATGATGATGATGATGATGATGATGATGATGATGATGATGATGATGATGATGATGATGATGATGATGATGGTAGAGATGATGATGATGATGATGATGATGATGATGATGATGATGATGGTGGTGGAGATGATGATTATTATTATGATGATGATGGTGGTGATGATGGTTATGATTATGATGATGATTAGGATCATTAGTATTAGTATTAGTAGTACTATTGATATTATCTGTATCATCATCATCATTATCGTTGCTATCATTACTATTCATGTTACTATTAGACTTACTATTATTATTAATAGTATTAGTATTCATAATGTTATGGTGATGATGATGGTGGTGGTGGTGTGATGATGATGGTGATGATGATTATGATGATGATGATGGTGATGATCATGACGATGCTGATGACGATGATGATGAGAATGCTGATGATAATGATATTGATGCTGGTGATGATGTTCATGATGATGACGATGATGATGATGCTGATGATGCTGCTGATGGTGAAGATGGTGATGCTGATGACGATGATGATGATGACGATAATGACGATGATGATGATGACAATGTTGATGATGATGCTAATGATGATGTTGATGATGGTGATGATGATGGCGATGATGATGACGATGATAATGATAATGATGATAATGAGATTGATGCTGATGTTGATAATGACGATGATGCTGACGACGATGATGATGATGGTGATGATGACGATGATGACGATGACGATGATGATGATGCTGATGATGATGCTGATGGTGATGATGCTAATGAGGAGGAGGAGGAGGAGGAGGACAAGCCCGAGGAGGATGGGGGAGCAAGAGGGTACCGAAACGGCGACTCCCGAGACCCCATTCAGGGTGCGTTCTGGCCAGAATTTTGAGGCGAGTCCAGCCATGAAAACGAAGGCAGCGGTATCGGTGTCTTACCCTCCTCTGAGAAGAGGAATGAAGAGGACAAAGACGACGACGACGACGA